ATGCCTCAAAACGGTTGAAGCACCATCCTGCCCGGCCTGCAGTGCCTGCCTACAAGCATGTCACCACTGCGGTCTGGACTGGCACCTGGCTCTGCCAGTGGACTCGCACCAACCGTGACGCAGCCACACAATCACACTGATGAGCACAAGCTGCGACCATCCTTGTGCCTGCATACCAAAATGAAAAAGAAGACAAAAAGGAAGACGAGCGAATAGAAGGTATAGATAGGAGTTCAAAGGACATCCCAAGGAAAGAGGAGGAACCGAAGGTGGCAGTGATGATGATGGTGACAACAATGATGATTGTGATGGATGGTTGTGAGAGTGGCGATGATGATGATGATGATGATGATGATGATGATGATGACAATGATGATGATAATCATGTTAATTGTGATAGTCAGGATGGAGATGGTGAGGAGGAGGAGGAGGAGGAGGAGGAGGGGGAGGAGGGGGAGGAGGGGGAGGATGACGACGGCGATGATAAGAAATGAGGACAACTAGGATGATGATAATGATGGCGATGATGACCACAATGATGATGTGATGATGACGATACAGATACAGTAATGAGTGCACAGTAGTTTGGGACATGCACGACTTGTTTCGATTAGCCGACGGGAAATACCACCAAGAGAGGAGTCGAGGGGCCAAAGCAGAACAAAAAAAAGTGAACGCATCTTCTGTGAGGCCACAGTCTCACCGTGTCCAAAAAATCTGAGGCTCAGAGTCACAGCATGCATCTCGGATGGACTTTTTTGGGTAATTTTTTCCCTCTGCCTACCCGGCCTACCCTTCGGAACGGTGTGGGCAAAGATGGATATCAAATTACTATCAATTTATCAAAAGAAAGCATGACGACCAACCATCCGCGCAACAAGCAATGGCAGCAGCACCCAACTTTCAAAACCATGAAGGATGAAGAGCAAAAATCACAATGGCAATAAGCCGCAGCTCAATCAAACAAGTCAAAGCTGGCTCAAGTGGTGAAAAGCTTTTTCTTCTTTTCCACCAACCACTGCGTGCTCAAACAAGAGAACAAACCTGAAATGGACCAGGACTCCGAAACGGACATCCAGGGAAAAAAAAAAAAAAAAAAAAAAAAAAAAAAAAAAAAAAAANAAAAAAAAAAAAAAAAAAAAAAAAAACATCAGATGCATTCTAATTTCTAATTCCCAGGTTTCAAGCACAAAAATGGATCAGCAAGGAAAAAAGTTGACGGCAAAAGTTATCGAGAAAAATCAACTGCATCATGGACGGAAGCGCAGGTAGCATTCTGTCTGCGCTGCTCTGCGCTGTTATGCAGGTGGCCCGGGCTGGCTCCGGCTTCCTGAGTACTCATTGGGGCAGGGGCAGGACGGAGTCCCAGCCAGCCAAACTAGTCAAAAAAAAAAGAAAGAAAAATTAACTTTAATAAAGAAATTTTCAAAAATTCAAAAAAATACGTGTAAAAATTACAATAAAATTGGAATGCAAATAACGCCTGACGCAGGGTCAGTTTGGGAGTGCCAAGGTATACCCCTTCAGACCACCCCCTTGAAAGTCAAAACCTGAAGTTTATAACTTATAAGTTATAACCCTTGGGACCGCCTGGGTGACCCATCACTGGGTTCGAAAATAAGGCCGGATTCCGGATTCTGACTGCTCAGGCCAGATTCTGACATCTCAGGCCACGCACAATCCCGGCATGATTCCGCATGAAGTCAGATTCACTTTGTTGGGGGGATTTTCGGCTCTTTTCTCACCTGCCCGGTTTTCGGAGCGCCTGTCCTGGCCTGGGCATGCCTGGCCATGGGGATGCAAAACCTAGCATTCTGTATAAGATAAGATTGAAGGCAAGCAAAAGGGGGCATGGGAAAGGTCGTGCCCTCTCGAGCCCCACTCACCTCTATTGATGCTTGCTTACTGAAATATCACCTCACACGACCTTTCCATCGACAGTGCACCCATCTGAGACAGGGGTGGGACAACCCCAACGACGCCGTCCATCGACAGTGTCTATGGACGCGATTGACCCACGCATTTCTATGGAAGTCGATCCATTGGGGATCAACTGAACGCGATTGGCCGGGGCCACGTTCAAGGATCCAGAAAAGGAGAGCCCAATGGCTGAGATTCGAACGCGGCCCGGCCAATCGCGAGCACTATTGTGTGTGATGATTCATGCTCTACTTGCTTGCTTACAGGCCAGCACCTACTTGTGCACCCACACACCACAGCCATGATACAACAAGATACAAGAGAGAGAGAGCGAGGGAGAGAAATACGTAGAAAAAGACTCAGAAAATGAAGACACAAATAAAATCCTTTCGCCGTCCTACAGCTCAAGAGCTCCTTCCTGAACTTCCCGACCTAATCAAGAGTTAGCAATCACATAGAATGAGACTGTTCCTCGACTACTCAGAAGCACCGACTCTAACATTCCTTCGGTCTCTCATGAGCCCTTAAGGCTTTCCCACACAGACCGTTTTCTCCGACTTCCCCGGCAGACGCGAATCTCTCTCCCCAGCTCCGTACCTCCGAGCTTGAATTCATGTCTCCCCAGGTCAGTAGTACCTTGCTACCAGAAGACGTATCTGTAGATTCTGTACCTAATCCTGGAACAATACATGCCAGTACCCAGGTCCACAATGTCCCTAGTCCTCCCACATAAGCGCCAGACCTAAAATTGCAGGCAAATGCACGCCACCGAACCTGAAGGCCTTTTAGGCTTTTACCTTTTCCACTTTCAAGTCCATTTTTCAAGAGACTTTGCCCTCGTTTTTTTTTTTTTTTTTTTTTTTTTTTTTAGCTACCTCCATCTTGCTGTCACCGATTCTCAAGTCTATCCTTCCCAGACCTCACCTTTCCGACCTCCTGCCGACAAGATTCGAGTCTGTTGTTCTGAATCCGTTCGTTTGCGAGCAAGCCCCACTATGTATGTCAGATGAACCCACTGTCCACTTTCAAGCCCCGATCTGGGAAGGATAGACTTGAGAATCGGTGACAGCAAGACGAACGGATCTCACTTTCGAACCCTCGTCTTGCTGTCACCGATTAGTCTATCCTTCCCAGATCTCACCTTTCCGACCTCCTGTCGACAAGTTTTGACTCTGTCATTCTGAATCCGTTCGTTTGCGAGCAAGTCCCTCTCTGTATGTCAGATGAACCCACAGTCAACTCAAAGCCCAACCTGTCCTCGTGAAAAATTACAGGGGTGACCGTAAGAAGGCAGGACCGCAAAACTACATACCCGAAAACGACACAGCAACGCGAGATCTGTTCGAGACGAAACTACATGTGAAAATAACTTTCTGGCCATCATTTGTTCCCGCTGAAACTTGAAATACAGCAGACCGGTACACTGGTGCAGTAAGGTGGAGCAGGGTACCAGTCTGGCATCAGTTTCTTTGGCACGGTGAAGCTACAAGTCCTGGCAACAGCCCACTCACTATCAGGTTTAGAAAGTTCACTCGTACAAGTGCAGTACCCCACCATATACTGCAAGTGGCGCCCTGCCATAAACATCGTGAGAATAGCAACACACACACATGCACATGCGGTACACACACACGGATGCACGTGTGCTCACACACACGGACGAGGATGACTTTGACAACCAACCAAGAACAACGCACGCGCGCGCGCGCACCAGAGAGAGAGAGAGAGAGAGAGAGAGAGAGAGAGAGAGAGAGAGAGAGAGAGAGAGAGAGAGAGAGATCTTGGCAAGCCACTTGAGCGTTCAAACGAACCCGGATGAGCAGCCAACCAGTCATAAACAAGGTGACCATTCAGGTGTACAACAGGTGGCAGACTGGAGGCACTGTTTCCACTGTTTCCATTGTTTCCACTGTTTCCACTGTTTTAAATTCTGCGAGAAGTTGAGAACAGAATTCCAGCCAGGAAGTTCATTTTTTCCATTTTCTGTTTTGGCTGGAATAAAATTCCATCCACCGTGTTATTTCTGCATTTAGGTTTCGAAATGGCAAGCTGCCAGAGTTGCCCTAAAATTACAAGCAAGGACGACTTCGACATTGCACATCCATAGGCGTGATACCCGGACATGAATACGGTTTGAAACGAAGACCACATGCAAGCAAATTCCAGAGTGGATAACGAGCTGGTGTAGTGAGAGGCACGAAGGCAAGGGCCTTGACTTCTGCGATCACTGCCGGAAGACTGCTTGTCTGTAACTGCCAGCCCAATCTGCCCAGTTACGTCACGAGTGCCCTGGTTCAATGAACAATCACACTTCGAAGGAACGATTGATGTTTGCACCTCGTTTTTTGTATGTCGACCTGCTCTAGTCGTTTCACCGGGTCGTCAAACCATTTTAATGTCACATAGTTGGTGAGAGGAGTGATTGTCCTTCAATGACATCATGCCTGCTCTTCCCCCCGGGTTTTGATCTGTGGTTGTCGAGGAACCGATATGCTCACAGTGAATGCAAATGTGACCTAGCATCCTTCAGTTTACCGATCGGCTTCAGAGTTTATGAGAAGAGTGATGGTCCTTTAATAACATCATGTCGGCTCTTCCCCCGGCTTCTGATCTGTGGTTGTAGAGAGGGACCAATATGCTCACAGTGAATGCAAAGCATATCGTGAACTGGCATTCTTCAGTTTAGCAATAGATTTCGTCAATCAAGTCTTCTTGTAGTCCGGGCCCCTTAATGTTATTTGGGTTCCTTCTTCTTCTTCCCCTCAGTTTTCTCAACCGTTTCCCGCCTTCCAAGCTCTTTCCCCCCCTCTAGGTCCTCCTCTTTTCTTTCTTTTTTTCTTCCCACTCAAATGTCAGTCCTTTACACTCCCCTCCCTCCCCCCCCCCCCCCCCCCCCCCCCCCCTCTCTCTCTAAGTCACTTGGGTCCTTTTCACATCACTGTGATAGAAGGAAAGTTTGGGAGAGGGGGTGCTACATCAGAGAGGGAGGGGATGCTACATCAGAGAGGTGGTGATGCTCACACATTCAAGCTTTGAACTAGACCCGTCCCATTTGTATGCGAACATAATCCCATCCCTACCTGTACATGATGTACAATATGATCTGGCCGATGGAAAGCGAGACGCCAAGCATATTCGGCAGCTGTTGAAACACGCAAGCACATACAGAGAGAGAGAAACAGGAAGGCTTGAATTAGACAAACACATTCCGATCCAGGTATTCCACAGGGATCATGCTGCTGCCATGCATATGAATCGTGCCTTTTTTCCTTCTTTTTAACGTCCGATTGTGAGAATTATGATGCAACAAGGCATGGTTGTAGATTTCAGACCTAGTGATATGGAGCTGCACTTCGCAACACTGACTGCGCCGATGACAGTAGGTACGGTAGGGTGGGGGCAAACCCTCCATCGTGGTAAATGCATACCGGGCTAAGCTACCAGAATGGCCCAGGCCTGGGACCGCTTTGCCCAGCTGGGCCAAAAGGCCCAAAAGTAAAAATAAAAATACAAATAGAAAAACTATTATCATAATATCATACATCATTATTATTTTATAATTTTTTTATTTTTTTTTCCTGCTTCAAATTTGGTATAGAACTTCGATGCAACCCTGAGGCGAACGTTGTTTAGTTTATATCGTTCTTCATAACATAGTAGTTTCTTTTCGGACGTTTCGGATTTTCTTTTCTTCCGCTGGGACCTTTCCTTGTCCTTGTACAGCCGCGGGGTGCCCGCGCAAACACAAGGTGCCCCAGGCGGCTTGGCTGGTAGCCCAGTTAACCCGGTCACAGCCGGGGTGCCCGGCCAAACACGAGGTGACCCAGGCGGCTTGGCTGGTAGCCCAGTTAACCCGGTCCATTTGGAACAGACCTGGTTTAAGTCAATGTTACCCACCCTACTGATGTCAGAGTTCTAAGGCATTGCTACCCATGTCCGGGCTCAAGGTCAAGCGGTCACATCTTTACTTGCTTGAAGTAAAAATGCACAACATGCAAATGCTTTCTTGTAGGAAAATCAACGCCATGCGCATGCGATGGGGGGGAGGCAGGAGCATGGAGTGCCATGGACAGTGTCCGTAGCCTCAGAACTCATGATCTCTCTCCGGTAGTCCTTGGGAAGGAATTCCAATCCACACCCAACGCTAGGCTAGGCTGCAACCGTGACCGGTGGGGCAACTTCCACCGGAAGAGGCGACCACCATTTCAGATAACCATTCACCTAGGCGCCGGTGAAATTTGCGTTCGAATTTGACGCTGTGCAGTCATCGGCACTCGAATCACATTGACGAGAGATCACTGCGGAGTCTGCTAACACCAGCATGGAAGACTTAAGCAGATGGATTCATCAGGAACAGAATGCATAATGCAACCGATAGCTAGCTACAGCAGTGTCATCACATTCTTGGCATCGTGCCCACAGTTTGTACATAAAGTCATGATGCGATATTGTTAGTGTCCATAGCCGTCTGTGCAATGACACTGCCTTCAACCACAAACCGATTCAAAGCATTGAAGAAGAGGAGAAGGGAACAGAAAAAGGCTGACCGAAGGAGAGGAGAGGAGAGAAGAGAAGAGGAGAAGAGACGAGAAGAGAACACTTTCATCATCACCAGCTTGCCACAGTGGACATGCCTAGAGAATACTTTTTGGTATGAATTAAAAGTCCAGAAGCTGGCAAGTTGTAATACCTTTTGCTATGAATTAGCGGTATTCTCAAGGTCAACTTGCCAGCTTCTGGACTTTTAATTCATACCAAAAAGTACTACAACTTACACAAGTGATCGACCAATCGTAGGCTTCGTAGCTAGTGTACGAGGAACTGCGTATGCACACATTTGTGTGCATGTCTGTACGTTGCATGAGGGGTCTACAGCCGTAGGCAAGCTGCGAATCTCCTGCTTCTTGGAAGTGAATTGCTCCCCGCGTCAGTTGGTTGCAGGTTTCGAGCTGCTTAGCAACTGTTAAGGTCAGAGTCGACTTCGGCCATTGCTTCTCTTTCAGTCTCTTTAGTGGAGTGTGTGCAGATGAGAGAGGAGCGCAACCGCATGTTAGGCAGACAGACGCCAGGCCACTTACCAGACAACCACGACACAAACCGTGGGGAACTCTGCACTCAGGATAGCGATCTCTTCGCTCTTTGATTTCTGCTGGAGTGTTGAGTGGCATATGCCGTTTACTTGACCTGGCTTTCCATGGAATTGATTCTGTTCAGGTGATTATTTGATAACACAGACACCCACAAAAAAAGGAACGACAAACAGACGGAAAAAAACAAAAGAAGGTGGACGATCCGTACAGTGCCCAAGCTCTGAGGATGACTGAGTAAGACGGACAACCATGTCCATCAGAACCTGATAAATGGCCTCAACCGTGTCACTTGTGTGATGCCAAGGTGTGAACCAGATGTGAACCAGCCGTGAGCCAGGCATCGGACCAGGTGTGAACCAGCCGTGAGCCACGTATCGGACCGGGTGTGAACCAGCCGTGAGCCGGGTATCGAACCGGGTGTGAACCAGGTGTGAGCCCAGAGTGAACCAGGTGCGCGGAAGGTGTGAGCCGAGTGTGAGGCAGGGGTGAGTCAGGTGTTGAACCAGTGTGGCCCAGGTGTGAACAGGTTACCCTTGGAGGCCAACAGAAAAAAAAACAGAGCTCAAACATAAATGAAGCCACAGGTGGGGCTCACAGAAAACAGAAGCCAAACATAAACGAAGGCACACGCTATATCTGTGGCCAAAAGCAATATAATGAAAGCCCTAAAACAGAACCATGGGCCATCCATATAAGCTCTACCACCAGTTTCCAGATGAACTGCCGAGCCAAGAGTTGCAAACAAGTCATGAAGCGTCATCTTCCGGGTGCTTAGGTAGCATAGGGCACATCAGGTTGGCAGAAATGAGAGATCGGCGGTGTCTTCATTTACAGAATATTACACTAGTACGAGAGTCTCTCGAGCCTTTCTGAAGCCTCCGCCTGTACACGCTAAGGCTGTGGACAGCCTCGGCCTACCAGACCAAGTGGGGTCCTGAGGGTTTGCCCGAACTTTCCACAACCCCAGCTTTGGCGATCGTTTATTGGACTTTGTTCTCATGTTCGACAGCACAAAAAAAAAAAAAAAAAAGGCAGGAATGCAGGGTAGGTTCCGCTGTATGGGCCAAAATGATTAGAAAAATAAAAAAGGGTAGAAAAGCAAAATACCTTCGTCGACAAAACAAAAATTTAGCACAGTGCCACAGCGTTCGCACATACCGATTTCATATGTCGACTGATCATATTCATCGACCGGATTCATCGTAGGCCCGGCGAACTCTGACTTGACTCAATTCAATAATCAATAAATTATTATTATAAATTATTATTGACATTTGAGAAGGGTGTAGAGTCTCTAGTACTGTCTACTGAAGCTATCCTGATGTAAAATTTTCAACAAAGTCTTCAAATGCCAGAACTGGTAAAAAAAAAAATAAAAAAAATTGAAAAATTTTGAAAAAAATGAAAATGTGGGTTCAGAAAAATGGGCTCAGAGAGACTGGTGATTTCTTTTTCCCTTTTTTTTTTTTTCTTTTTTTTTTTTTGAATCCGGGGGGGTCTGTTAGCACGGGTGATAAGAGCATCCCCCTCTGGCAGGCCCGTTCCTAGATGCTTCAGTCTATTGGTGGGGAGCGGCACCTGCTGAAAACCGGGTCCAGCGTCCCATTGAACAATCACTCAATTCTTTCCCCGAGGCCACTACCCGGTTTCGGATTTCACTTGTTCCCCTCGTACAAATTGTAAACATCCTGAGACAGCAGAGCTGCATTCTGACACCCTTGATCCCTCTCAGTTGTCGCCACCGTACCGGCGTACCACTGCAAAAGCACCATTGACTGCTGGTGAGGAGGCAAAAGAGGTCTGGAAACTCCGAAGGGGGGCCGCGGTGGTACATCTGGGGTAATCTTGGTCCAATCCCTGATTATCAGGCTGTAATCTCTTCTGGTTCACTCGATCATCCGGTTGGTCATTTCCCCCCAATAGATTCTAGCAATCCAGCCCCCTTGGCGACCCCCCAACCATTCTTCTGAGAATTCTTTGGATTGTTTGTTGAATGTCTTTTTCGGAATGATAAGATCCAGTTGTGACGACCGACATTAGGTCGCGACCTCCTCAATTTTTTCAATGGCAACAAGGCAAAGGGTGGGTTGTCAACGGCAACAAGGCAAAGGGTGGGTTGGACCAATTCTTAAGCACAAGCGTAGTCTCGCTACTCCACAAGAAAGGTGACAAAGAAGATCTAAAGAACTACAGACTCGTCTCACTACTCACAACTCTGTATAAAATCCTCACGAAAGCACTAGCCAACAGGATCATGAAACTCGTGGATAAATGCTTTCACATTGATCATGCAGGGTTCATCCCTAGGAGATACGTACTAGACAACGTGGTGACCCTGAACGAGGCAGCAAAGAAGATAATAGAAAAACGAATGAAGGCTGCTGTCCTGATCTTGGACTTTGAAAAAGCCTATGGCCAAGTTAATTGGGACTTCCTCCAGAACTGCATGGAGAAGACAAGAGTTGGCCCAGATTTCAGGGAATGGGTCGGAATTCTCTATGGAGACGCCACTGGAAAAGTCTAGATAAACAAAACATTGTCAGACCCCTATCCAATATTGAGGTCCGCCCGCCAAGGCCCAAGGGGACCCATTGCCCCCCCCCCATCTTCCTTTTCATCACGGAAGAGCTTCTTTCCTTCACAAGGAACCCTCCATAGACTGCCTCACTGAACAAAATTACAACCCCCTACATGACTTTGTTCTGCCCACTGCGTTGATATTCGCTGACGATCTAAAGGTTCTCATCCGGGCCAATAACGCCTCCTTCCAGGCACTCGTCATAGCCATGGAAGCCTTACGACTAGCATCAGAAATGAAGGTGAACTGGTCTAAAACTGAAGGCTGGTGGCTAGCAGACGTCACCCCCCCTCAACCTCCCGATCTATCCACCCCCATGTCATGGTCCACAAACGACCACGCACTCTATGGTCAACAAGGACGGTGCATGTCCAGGGATGGGACATAATCTACTCTATCGTCAACAAGGACGGTGCATGTCCTGGGAGGGGACATAATCTAATATCTAAGGCAACAGCTCGCCTAGCCCCATGT